GGGCGTTTCAAGTGAGGGTGCATGTGGGGCTGTGTGCATAAGAGTAAACATGGGGGAGTGGAAGGTATGTGAGGACTGGAGGGTTAGGGGTCGATGTGGTACGCATTGGGGGGCTACTGGGGAACAGCAGTGCTTGATGACTGTGGGAGCTGTGCAGAGCATCTCCTGTGACCTGAGGATGTGCCAATCATGCCCTGGTACCACTTGGGGTGGGCTCTCGGCCCCTATACTCCGTCCACTCCCCCTGACATGGCAGCCCTGGCTCCTGGGCTGGGTATAGAGGAGAAGGGCCTGGACACAGGGTATCCTGGGTGAAAGGTGGGGCCGTGGCTCCCAGGCTCCTGCCCTGCGTTTCCTCTTCCTAAGCTGGAGAGTGTCTGAGGAATGCAGGTGGGACGTAGGAGGGGGGCTGTTAGACTGGGCTCCATGTCCAGCTACCATCTCTTCTTCCTGCTGCCCTGTTAACAAATCCAGGGGGGCTCAACTGCCTCTGTGAATCAGAGTGAAGTCACTGCTGGCAACCTGGAGCCTGCAGGATGTCTGGCCCTGATGGTGGGAGGTGGGGAGTGAGGTGTTTGATTAGGGGTGATTTGGGACCCAAAGTTTTGCATTATGACTCCCAACCTCTCTCATATACCTGTGCGTTCATGTACACATACATGTACGTAGCATCCCTTGGCTGCTCCCCTCCTGACCTACTGAGCTCTGGAGTGGTCTGGGTCCCCCAGAGACGGCTGGGTGGCTGGTGTTGACAGCCTCTACTTGCGGTGTGTGAACTTGGGGTCTGGGTGGCAGGTGAGTGGGGGGATGGTTCTTGGAGTTGGCTGGGCTGGGCTTACCAGCTCCACCTCCTGCAGGCTCTGAAGCGGAAGCCAGATTTGTTCCTGTGTGAACGATTGGATGTCAAAGCTGTGTTCCAGTGTGGTAAGTGGGGCCAGGTGGACAGGTGGGCCTGGGGCCCCTTTGGGAGGATCCTTGAGACCCATCTGATCTGCCTCTGCCTCTCCCACAGCTGTGCTGGCCCTCAAGTTCCCCGAAGCACCTACTGTCAAGGCCTCCTGTGGCTTCTTTGTGAGTCCCGTGCTGACCCCTAACCCCACCCCCCACCCCTATACCTAGCGCGCACCCTGCCCAGGACTCGAGAGGGTAGGGGTGTGGTGTGCAGGTCTTGTCTCCAGGGGGACGGGAGAAAGAGCTGGGGCTGACGGGCCTCTCCATCCTCTGTAGACAGAGCTGCTGCCTCGGTGTGGGGAAGTAGAACCTGTGGGAAAGGTGGTACAGGAGGATGGCCGGATGCTGCTCATAGCAGTGCTGGAGGTGAGGTGGGGCCAGGGGGGGGGGGGGGGG